TTTTTTTGAGACAGGGTCTCACAATGTAGTCGAGACTGACGTGGAACTCACTATGTAGCCCAGGCTGGTCTCAAACTCACAGCGATCCTCCTGCCTCAGCCTCCCAAGTGCTGGGATTACAGGCGTGTAGCCCAGACTGACCTCAAACTCATGATCCTCTGACCTCAGTTTCCCTTAGTAGCCGGGATTACAGGTATGTGCCACCATGCCTGGCCACACTTTCTTTTTTTATTATTTTTTTATTAGTACGTGATGATCATATTCATCCACTTTTTTTTGTTTGTTTGGTTTGAGACAGGGCCTCACATGTAGTTCAGGCTGGCATTGAACTCAGTGATCCTCCTGCCTCAGCTTCCTGAGTGCTGGGATTACAGGTGTACACCACCATGCCTGGCTACACTTTCTTTTTTTTTGTTTTTGGTACTGGGGATTGAACTCGGGTCCTTGCGCTTGCAAGGCAGGCCACCAAACCGCTGAGCTAAATCCCCGGCTGGCCCATCCCCGGCCGCCTCCACTTTCTTAATTAATATAAATATAGTTAAATTTTTATTCTTTCAATACTTTAGTTATATAAGGTTTGAGGAATTGAAATTTAATCCCATTATTTTATACATTCATATATATATAGATAGATAGATATATTACATTTTTTTACTATTTGTAATTTAATTACATAGGTTTTTTTTATTTTGTTTCATTTTTTTGTGGTACTGGAAATTGAATCCAGGAAACAGGGAGTTACATCCTCAGCCTTTTTTATTTTGAGACAGGGCCTTGCTAAATTTCCCAGTCTGCACTCAAACTGTGATTCTCCTGCCTCAGCTTCCCCTAGCTGGGATTACAGATGTGCATCACCAAGCCCAGCTATTTTCTAGATATTTCTAGCTTGGAGATTTGATCCCACCCCCCTTTTTTTGGTATAGAGATTGAAATCAGGACCTTATGCTTGCAAGGCAGGTGCAGTGCCACTGAGCTAAATCCCTGGGTTTTGCATTTAGGAATTAAATCCAAGAGACTGTTTAGTAGAGGCATTCAATGGAATCAAAATAACATATATATGTTCTAAATATTCTTAGTTCTGTCATTTCTATTCTTTGGATGTACATCCCTATCCCTTTAAATTTTTATTTATTTATTTTTAAAATTTTAAATTTTGAGACAGGATCTTGCTAAATTGCCTAGGCTGGGCTTGAATTTGTAATCCTGCCTCAGCCTCCTGCAGAGCCAGGGTTTATTTTTTTGGTATAGAGATTGAAATCAGGACCTTATGCTTGCAAGGCAGGTGCAGTGCCACTGAGCTAAATCCCTGGGTTTTGCATTTAGGAATTAAATCCAAGAGACTGTTTAGTAGAGGCATTCAATGGAATCAAAATAACATATATATGTTCTAAATATTCTTAGTTCTGTCATTTCTTTGGATGTGTACATCCCTATCCCTTTAAATTTTTATTTATTTATTTTTAAAATTTTAAATTTTGAGACAGGATCTTGCTAAATTGCCTAGGCTGGGCTTGAATTTGTAATCCTGCCTCAGCCTCCTGCAGAGCCAGGGTTACAGGTACCACCATGCCTAGCTAATGTTTATAATTTTCCGTGTTTCTAACTTCCAGTCGTCATTTTAAATTTTTTTATCTTTTACTAGACAGCCTGCGTTCACTTGTATGTTCCTGATAATTTAGAAGGTTTTTTTTGAGACCCAATATCATTATGTAGTTCAGGCTAGCCTTGAACTATGTAGCTAATTTTATTTTGGTACCAGGGATCGAACTCAGGACCTTGTGCTTGCCAGGCAGGTAAGGTGCCACTGAGCTACATCGCTGGCCCTTGAACTCACTATGTAGCCCAGACTGGCCTCAAATTCATGGTGATTCTAATGCCTCAGTCTCCAAGTGCTGGGATCACAGGTGTGCACCACCATGATCTATAGCTTTGTATTTTTCAGTTAGTGGCTTCATCTGTATATAGTATATTAGAAACCTCAGGGGCCGGGATGTAGCTCAGTGGTTCCAGCACCTGCCTCGCAAGCACAAGGACCCTAGTTTGATCGCTGGTACAAAAAAAAAAGAAACTTCAGTATACTATCCCTAAAAGTTCAGTGTTTATAAGTAGCTTCAGTGTAATATACCAAACCTTTTTGTTAGAATCTGTTGTTCTTTTAACCGTACTTTTTCCTCCTTCCTTTTTTGCTACCGGAGTTAGATTTCCAACACTTTGAACTGAAGGTATTCGAATAGAGGCACTTGCTTCCCAGTAGATGGTGCTAGAGGCACAAAAGAAAGAACTGTGTACACCCATCCACCTCATAGAGTGCACTCAGGCCTCTAAACTCTGATCAGTTCTGGGAGAATTAACAGTGAACATTTTGGGTCTCTAAGGACAAAGGGCAAACCCTGGAAAGGAGTGACCCACCTCAGTGCTTATGTCTTGTGAAGTTTCTCTGATATTTTCCTCCTTCCTTTTTTGCTACCGGAGTTAGATTTCCAACACTTTGAACTGAAGGTATTCGAATAGAGGCACTTGCTTCCCAGTAGATGGTGCTAGAGGCACAAAAGAAAGAACTGTGTACACCACTTTTTCCTCCTTCCTTTTT